TATCGGAAAGGATGGATGATATTCACCATCAAGTGTGATCAAAGTTGAAAACGTCTGCCGATTCGATGAAGTTAACTTACGATAAGAGATCTACTGAAGTCAGCTTTGTACCAGGAGACAAGGTGTGGTTGTATAATCCCAGGAAGACCAAAGGGAAGTCTCCTAAGTTGTCTTCTCCATGGGAAGGCCCATATGACATAGTGGATCGTCTCTCAGACGTGACTTTCTGGATAAAATGTGGTCGGCGAGGTAAGTCAAAAGTGGTGCATGCCAACAGGCTTTGGCGTTATCACGGTCCAGGACATTTCAGTTGGGATGAAGTGAACAACAGGACAAATGACGCTGCTGAAGACGTGCCACCTGAAGAAGCCACTGTCAAAGAAGAAACTTTACTCAGTTTTGAGAAGGGAAACAGTGAAGGCTCTTGATGAAGTTACTACCACTGATGTGACTGTTACCGATGATAGGACATTTCCTGATCAAGCAAATGAACCCCATATGAAGCAAAGCCAACGAGACGGAGACCAGTACGGAAGAAGATACGTCCCGTAAAATTAACAAACTTTGTTGAATTTTAATTTTGTGTTTGTAAATTCTGTACATTTAATTAAGTTTTTGTTAATTGTTTATTGGTTTAATGTAAGTGGCTATTGTTCGGGACGAACAATACTAAGGAAGGGGCAGTGTTACGACAGCGGAGGTCACTTCACGCTAGTAACACATCACGCGCTTCTAGAACGTTCATGAAACCTCGGGAGGTTGTTAGATTTTGGTATTCTTGAACATATAAGACGGTCAAGACATGACGGCAACAATGTGTAATTGAACTGCGGACAGAGCGAGACGTATTGTTGAGTCGAGCACGAGAGACGTTCGTTGTGAATTATTGCGTTTGTTATAGCGTGACTGTGGAAATTAAGTGTATTGCAAAGTTGTATTTAGAAAGAATAAACCAGTTTTATTTAAGAAAGGACTTGTATCGCTAAAGTTTCTTCGGAAAGAAATTATACAGAAAATTAACTAACGAACAGAGACGTAACAATAACAAATCTGTTTTAAAGGCATAACGTGGAATTAACACAGACAAATTCAAAGAATTTCAGGCAGCTCTCATGTTAGAATATTTTCTCATGCTAACCAGGAATAAATGTTCCAACGTAAAAATGTCTGAACATCTTTTTAACAATGTATATAACCTTATATTTATTAAAATTAAAAGACATGTGCTAGTCATTACAACCGCATCAAATAGTCCAACTATCTTTGTAAAATTTCAGAATCTTTATGATAGTTTGAAACACTCATTAATTTGATATTAACTGCAAATTTAAGCAACTTATTGGTTATTCTTTTACCAATGGCTTTGATAAAAATATGAAATAGCAAAGGACCAAGCACAGAATCCTGAAGTTCACTACTTGTAATCCGTTATGAATTTTGTCTTCTACCATCAAAACAACCCCTAGTCCATAATAAGAGTTTACTTTCTAACCAATCAGAGAGAATAAAAAAGGAATCTTATGTTATATACAATAAATAGTGTCTATAATACTCAATAAAGTTTCGTTTTATGAAAAAAATTATTAATAATAAATAAATAAATATATATATATAGTGCACTAAAGTTAGATGGCGTGTGGAGTGCATAGGAAACTAATGATAGTCTTTATCAAACTTTAAAGATTGGTTGGGTTTGTGTTAGTGAATTGTGTCATTTTAAATTTGATATAGATACATTTCTTTGAGAGTAAAATGACGGTGATGGAATTTTTTGGTTGTGCTTTTATAGCCTTCGGACCACCACTGGCGATGTTCGCCTTAACTGTTGCAAATGACCCAATTCGAATCATTATTTTGATATCTGCGTAAGTGTAACAACTCATATAATCGTAATTAGAACTACATAAGTACTATACAGTATGCTACTTAAGCTAACGTTATTAAGGTGTTCAGTTATTAACCCCAAATAGGACCTGGATTAAAATGTTTAGCTTAACGTTAGTCGTTTCTAACAGTAACAGTATACTAATAGTAATGGTACTATAGTTGATAGAAAACTAGATATTAATAATTAAGTGTATAGTACAAGTGAAGTATACATAGTAATTAGTAGAAAAGTGAAGTGGAGACGAAGTGTTCGTTTCCTGCATCATTCTTCAGTGCTTGTGCTTCAATGTGGTGTTGCTGATTATCACCACTTAATGTTTCACAGTACCTATGATGTAGTCCAGCATTTTCCAAAGTGTGGGGTGCGCCCTCCTTCCTAGGCCTAGGATGGCACAACACCAAAGTGATCACTTGGTGGCACACGGAATATTTTTGTTAATGAAAATAATAAGTAATTGCTGCAATACATATAGCATTTTAACGTGTATCTGTGTGCTGAAATTATTATTAATAAGGATTTATTTAAATATGTTAAGGGTAAGCTAAATGTTAGAATGGGAGTGGGTCCTTTGTGGGATGGTAGAAGAAGGTCCATATTTGATGATTATGAAATAGCAGGGTTATTAAATTTACTTTTTTCAATTTTTACTGATGAAGGTGTAAACAACATTCTTCAATCTGAACAGTTGCTAGTTGGAAACAAGATGATCACGTTATTTATGAGTAAATTAAGAAACAAATTGCGAAGTTTATAGAATTATAACTTTTAAAAAGTTATCTGGTATCATACAATAATTATAAAATTGAAATATTACTGAAGCTTTATAGAGAAGTTACATTGTTGTTACTTATTAACACATTTATAATATATTATGTGAATAATCTGTTTAGATTTATTCACATTCATTCCCTAATGCTTTTCAAACATTGTAAGACAAAGTTATAAGTATCGAAAGTTTTATGTTACAAAATATATTGATGTTATTCTAACTTTTATGTTGTTTGGCTTTAACTTTAGGTTACTAGAAGAACCTCAAAATACTAGGTTTTTACTTTGGTGAAATTGCATCTGCCTTATACATAAGATTAATTTTCATTTCTCTTGGTTGGTAACAAAGCATTTGAATAACTGCAGTTATAGATACAACACTTAAGGCTCTAACACTGCCATATACCAACTTATAAACACACAAAACAATACTGAATTGTCTGGGACAACTAATATGATGAAGTGTACACGGTATTGGTGCACAGGTGACAGATAATTGTTAAACAATGCAGTCGTGTTGCACGTAATATGCATTTTTATGTACAGAGTTTACAATTAAAAGTTATTGTATCTTAAGTCAGAAGACAGGGTTTCCTCTGGCTTTTCATATTGTTTTGTCATTTGATAAAACTTTTTGAGACAAATTTTTAGGTCAGTATTATATGTTAATTCTAATTATATTTTAACTCAGAAATATTTGAGAATCCATACTTTATCATTTTTCTGCCACTTATTTTATTTAAAGATAAAAGTTCATAGTTTCCTCTCTGGCTCGTTATTAAATTTTACTTTTTCTTCAGTTTCTACTAATGAAGGTGTAAGCAGTATTCCCTGTTCTGATCAGTAGATAGATGGAAACAAGATTGAACTAGATGTCTGCATTAATTCTGAGCCGGTTAAGAAAAATTGGGAAGTTTAAAAAACGATAAGGCATCTGGCCCAGATAATATTTCCCCAGGGATTTTGAAGGAGGTTGAAGATTGAATATGTGAGCCTTACAAATCTTTTAACGTTCTTTGAACAGGTTACTGCTTACGTAGATGAGGGTAAGGGTGTAGATTTTGTGTATCTGGATTTTCAGAAAGCATTTGACAAGGTGCCACATAAAAGGCTTGTGAAAAAATTATCTCTATGGGTGTGGGGAATAAGTTAGCAAATTCGATAGAAGAATGGCTGGATGGTAGTTAGCAGAGGGTAGTTACAAATGGAGTTCAGTCAAACTGGATTAATGTGACAAGTGGGGTACGTCAGGGTTCAGTCTTAGAACCTTTGATCGTTTTGATTTACATCAATGACATAGATGAAGGAATGATCAATAAATTACTTAAATTTGCAGTTGATATTAAGGTCTTGGGTGTTGCTCGATAAGTATATGAATGATAAGGGCTGGCTTTAAGATTTTTTTTTTAATTATTTGAATTTAGTTTAGAGGATTGAACAACTGAGATGAACCAATAGTTCCAATGTTGTTCCAAAACATTGTTATGTTACATGTTATCTCTGCACAGCTGTCTATAAATGAAATAATCCACTTGTTGAATCTTTAAAACTTTTCTGCTCATCCAATTTTTGTTAAGAACTTATCACCCCTTGAGAATATATTATCCATTTCTTTTTTTTTATCATATTTTGAAACCTTGTTATGGTTCCACGTCAAGTAGTATGATCATTTAATAACAAAACACAGCTTTGAAAAGCTTTAAAGAAAGTTTAAGTGATTGGATAGAGCAAGAATTTGATTATCTTCTTATAGTTGAACAAATATATATATATAGGTGTGAGAGTTTTTTTATATAGTTTTTGTAAATCCTCCTTTTGTTGTGAATTGTGCATCTATTTGTGTGTTGAATTATATCTGTTTGATAGCTGCAGAGATTTTCTTCAATAGAAGACATCAGGTAACTTGAGGTAAGGTAAGCTTATACAGAGATGGGTTGAATGGGTAAAATAGGAAACTTTTATTACAAGTTTAACACAGTAACAAATGTTTAAAGTTTAGAGAAGTTTTTACCATCATCAGGTGCAAATAGTTTACAGAAATATATATATACAGAAACATACAAGTCACTTGACTAGAGATTGCTTAAGGCTTAATAAAGATATTTTTTTGATGTTTGGTTCTTTGTTAAAAATTATTATGCTTTTACTTTGTAATAGGTATACTAAGGTTTTACTGAGTTGTAGCATTTGTAAACAGTTTTTTATCATGTTCACCAAATAAAATCATCATTAAATCAGAAAAGTTTTAGTTGCATTCAGTGTTTAGTGGGCAACTGTCAAAATATTATTTGATTCAGTTCTGTATTGAATATGAATTATATGAAAATCCTAAGCAGACAAAAAAATTAGCTACTTACTTAGCTGTAGTTGCAATAATGATATATTTTAAATAAAGACATGATTACTATCATTGATGTTGATATATTTGATTATCAATTTATTTGACTTACAGAAGAGCAGTGGGAGTATAACTGCACACTTTGAAAAGAAACAGTAGCAACAGCAGTTGTCATTAATAATTAATTTGCCAAGTAGGAAATACCCAGATTATCTATTCAAAAAGAACTGTGGTAAAATATTCTTTCAGACAAAAATGTTTTTTCAAAATGGCCAAATGGCAACTTTCAGAAGAGGCCTATCATATGGAAGGAATGGTAATTCAAAAATTTTATAAAAGGAACAAAAGTTGGTGAATGAAAATAAGAAAATTAACACCAGGCTGGGATAAAGTATTGGTTGGAAAGTAATGACACTAGCACACCTCCATCTCTTTTTGTATTGGGGTGGGGGTGGAGGGCATGATAATTGAATGTAACCAATTAATGAGCCCATCAATTAACAATTACCACTAATTGTCCAGCTCTAAGGTTAGGTACTGTACTGGATTTGTTGTTAATGTTTGGTTATGATTTATTGCATTATAATTATGTTTGATGATTTTCTGCATGTCAACATGAAAGGTAATACAGTTTTAATTGTATATGTTGAGGAAAACATTTTTGAAGTTGAGTTATTTTAAGTTGACTGATCAGTCAAGTTGAAGGGGGATGTGGAAAAAAATTTCCAAGAACAACTAGCTTTTAATTCAGGATTGGCTTGCTTTATCAAAGAAAAGAACTATGAGGAATAGACCTAGGTGGTTTAATAAAGGCATTTGATTGGAGGAAATGTTTTGGAAGTGTGTGCTATTGATGTTAATCCAGAGTTTGTTAGATAAAACTTGAGAGTCTCAATAAGATAAGGCTTTAGGATGTAATATGTTTACCCAAGAATTTTGAAAGTTGAAAGAGGTTAAGGACCAGATTTATGAGCCACTTGATTACATTTTTGGCACATCATTGAACAGGGGGCAGTTACCAGAAGATAGGAAGGTTTATTTAAGGGTGATTTGTTCAGGGAATTTTGGGACAGTTAATCTTAATTCAGTATTGGTGTGAACTTCACATGTTGTGCCTGATCAGTTTATGAAGTTGGAAATTTTGTTGGGTAACAAATATTGGTTTACAAGAAGGTCCTTCTTATCTGGTTGAGGATTAAAAGAGTAAATTTGGATTTTTAGAAAGCTTTTAATGAGGTGATGCTTAAAAGATTGGTGAAAACATTACCTCAGTTTGAGTAGAGAAGTTAGTTAAATGACTGGAGGGGAGGAAAGAAAAATATTTGCTAATGGAGTTATTGTTATTCCTCATTTATGTAATGATATTAATAGAAATGTAGTTGAAAGAAAAATGGTTTAGGATGCTGATGATATCAATATCTTGGTTCTGGCTAACTATCATTTTACAGAGAAGCCTAGTTTGGCTGGCTAGTGGGCAGACACATGGCAGATGACATTTAGTTATGATGAGTGGGTTCAAGGTTTTTATCTAATACTCAGTGTGCCGATAAGTCAGTTGGGTTGAAGGTTTTATCTAATACTCAGTGTGCCTATAAGTCAATTGGGTTCAAGGTTTTATCTAATACTCAATGTGCCTATGCTATCTGTTGGCTTACAGTGAGAACAGAATTAGTGACAGAACTGCATATGTAAAGAAATTGGCAAGGGTAAGTTGGGCAGCTGGAGCAAAGCTTATTTTCAAGCTCTTTTTTTTTTTAATCTGAAAAGATTTGATGACTTCACTGTAGACCACCTTTGATACTTAGTGGATAACAAGGTTTAGTTATTGATAGCTTTTGTCTCATTCTACTTCTCAGGTAGTTCTCTACTAA